CTAAGATAAGCATGACAAAAAACATGACGCTTTAAGATCACCAGACACACACCTGATCTTAGCATCATTGCTGGTCATCAAATTTAGTTAGTAATGTCCAAACAAAGCATGAGCAAGGAACACAAACACTCGATTCAATTACATAGTTCAAATTAAAGGAAGCAAGTTCAGAAAATGATAACCATCAGTTCAATTTGTTTTGCATGTGTACAACATAATATGTTGATGAGGAATCAACACTTGGAACAATGAAGGAAAAACAATTGAAATATTATCGCCACCTTCCTTTTAATATAACATGTAGCTCTTCTGCCTTGTTTGTTTCAACCAAAATAAGGACCTCTCTCTCTCACATCCTCACATCTACAATTGGCGCATGCAAGAACATATGGCTTGAAGCACATTCCTGAAGATCGGTCTTCTTGTCAAAACAATGAAGTCAACCATTACCCATTATAGCTTCTCCTGTCTGCAATTTTCAGTCTTTTGCACATATTAAAAAGACACCAAGTTAACAACACAGAAAAAAATTTAGCAGAGAACTATATATGAAACTTACCTGATCATCATTACAGATTGTGCTTATCAAGAACCTCTATAGACAAAGTTATCTTGCATGTTGGTTTGTTTAAGATCCAGTCAGGACAAAAAGAAACTATCTGTTTATGTAGATTGTCACACCTCAAAATTTCTAATTTTGGGTTGTGCATAGAAAACACTAATTAAAATAAATGTTTTGATATTTGGATAAAATTTACCAATCTTAGTTTGAACTAGCGTAAATTTAGTTATAGGAAAAATATGAATTTTCAAGCTTTTCTAAATTAATTTGACGGGCTATTGCTTGATGTGATGCTTGGTTGTTGATTTATTTCATGTTGTGAGAAAAGATTTTAAAAATGCGTTTAGTAAGTCGATCTTCTTTCTCCAGCAATTCTTAGTCTTTCTCACCGATCAAATTCCTTGTTTTCCAACTTAATATTTGCTTGAGAAGTATCCTAAAATCTTTTCCATGAAATTCAAATCACTCCTTCCTGCTCACTATTCATCAACCTATCTCCATGGATACCTCGGGAATTTCTTCGGCTTTTTTCGGAACTTGTTCCCACTTGTTTGTGAGCATAATCTAATTTTTAAATGCTCCAAAATATCTTTTCATGAGCTCCAAATACTTTATTTGGGTTCGTCTTGTTCTAAAATATCTCTGAGAATTTTTCCTGAATTTTCGGAGCCTTCGGAGTATTTTTCGTGGCTTAAAATTTAATTCTGGACTTTTCTAGAATTATTTTATCCATGAAATTAATTAATTCCGAAAATAATAAAATATCTCAGATTTCCTCATGCCCAAAGGTCCATGTCTTTATTTACTAATGGGCTTTAATAATTAATTAGGCCTATTAGTAAAGGTGGAGGGTGCAACATCAATTAGTACCATATTGCTAGTTGATGTAGATGTGGGGAGTTCTCCGCCCTATATATATGTACCAACCCCTTGGACTAAGCACACCAAAACTACCATATGAGAAACCTCTAGTTTGGGAAATCCTTCGTGTAGTAAATTAATATTTCAACTCTCCTTGTCATGCCATCATCGGCCAACTCCGGCGAGCTTTTCCGGCCATCTTCGTCCTCGTCTCCGGATCCAGGAAAAAGATGAGGTGAGTTACAAGTTCGCCATGAGTTAATTACAGTTCTGCCATCGATCTTTTAATCCCCGCCGTTTCTTTGTTTTAAGTCCGATTCGAGTCGTTCTGGTTGCATTGGTTTCGTAACGTCGAGCTCTACGCAGTAGTGTTGATGTTTTCATGTCGCATTATTTTCCATATATAGCTAAATATTAAATTGATTAACATGCTTGTAATTAGTTTTATAATTAAAAGTAATTTAGGTTTATACATCGTGCTTTCATAAATAAATGTTAATATGATTAATATCAACAATAATGTCTTCTCGATTATAATTTGTTTAAATCAACCTCGAAACCTTTAGTTGTTCGTTTAGTGTCTCACATGTTTCATGTTATCTAATCTATAAATGTTTAAATGGCTTAAATAATAATTGAAGATATGTTTATAAAATAAAATATGACTAGTTTAACATGGTTTTTAAAATAAAATGTGAATTTGTGTAAACATTCTTCTTATGGTTTTGTTGAACTAAAATAAAACAAGCATGTAGGTTTTTCTTTTCTTTTAATAATATAAAGCTCTCGATAGTAGTTTCTTTTTAACGATAGTTGGTTTATCGGTGTTTCTTGTGTTCTCTCGATCGTAGTAACGAGTTCTCGTTTAGTACGATGTTTTCTCTTGTGTGGTGTGTTGTCTTAGTCTACTTTGTTTCTTGTATGTTTGCCTATGTGTGGTGCTTGTTTCGAGTAGACAAGAACCGTTTGAGAGCGTTGAAGATCAGAAGCTGAGCGCCCGAAGCTGTAGAATGGAAGATGAAGTTGATGCTTCTTGAAGCAAGATGCTTTGGGTGTAAAGCAAGTTAAAGGCAAGTATAGCTTGGGTTTTCTTTCTATGACCATGATCTTGGGCTTGTTTAATGAAATGTGATATAAACATAAATGATGAATGTTATCCTTTGGCAAAAGCTGGGACTTACAGTACAACTGTGAGGGCTATATGGCTCTGGCTTTAGCTCATCATGAGAACTTTTTTCTAGCGGGTTAGAGGTCTGCGAGTTGGGTATAGGACAGCCTCTGTTCTGTTGAGCATAGCTTTGAAAGTGTGCCTTTCTTTATTTTTGGAAGGAGGGTTCCTATATCGATGAGACTTCAAGTGAACCTGCCCTAGCTTGTTAGACTTAAATCTTTGAAAGACTTCATAGTGAACCTTGGTGACCTTCCTTGGTTGTGGGTTAAGAGGCTGATCACCTCGGAATCGAGTTGTAAAGGGCAAATCACGACTCACGGTGAAAGTGTACACCTCTCTTTTGTAGCTAGAGTTTAATAAATCGGTATACTAGCCGTGCTGTCCACCGGATACGGGAAAGTCGGAAAAACTAAAGGGAATTGTTGTATGTTCATTTAAATTGTTTATGTGCAATTCATTATTCAATTACACTTGATCATGTGGTTATGGATTACAATACCTTGTTGCTATATTTGCGGAATTGACATGGACTCACTCTTGCTATAAACCCACACACTTCGTGCTCGGAGAAGTTCTAGGCTTGTGATCGAGTGAGGCTTGAATCCAGTGGAGTAGAGTTTACACCCGGAGATCGGAGTTGTCTATTCGTTGATTGCTTTTTAAGGTTATCTTTTTACTAAGTACGTTATATAATAAGCATTGTTATTTGATATCACCTCTCTTTTGTAGCTATATGTGAGAATTGATTCTAAAGACTCACATATGGTGTGCATCAGGTTTTGTCCTTAAAACCGGGTGTTACATAGATCTAATCATTGCCAGAAAGAGCAGAGCAAATGGCAAGCATCGTGTAAACAATGATTCATTAACAAAAACTTATTACTACATCTGAAGGCCATGTCCAGAGAATTTGGCGTTTCGCATTTGTAGTGGTTGTATGTAACAATATATGGCACATCCATAACTGGTAAGGCATGCATTGCTTGCTGACACGAAAAAAGCTATGGCATTCTGCAAGCAGGTTATGAGCACAAGCAACACACCTGAATGGGCTTTGGAGTTGAGGAACCCCTCGGTGTAGACGCCTTCCGCTGTTGACTGATTCTCGACGGCGGACACCTTCCTGTACTACATGATCACGCGACACCAGCAGCATTCTCGAGGCGCCTCCCCAGTTGCTGCTACATCCTTTTCTGAAAAAACCATTACAACAATTGTCAGTTAGTTCTCATTTAGGCTTTTGTTTTTCATTCACCTGCATCAGAATGTATATAATAGTAAAGAATAAATGCAAATGCAAACACGAACCAGGTATAAGGAAAATATTTGATGAAAATCAATACAGCTAAATACCTCAGGTCCATTTTTATCTGAAACAAACACCAACCAGAATAAATTCATTCAGACCTCATATCCATGGCTTTGAGCCTGTGACAACATAGTGTGAACTGTGAAGTAATGAAATTGTCTATAGCTAATTAACTTATAACTTATCTTGACTCAACCTAAAAGGTCCCAAAAAGATTTGTAGCTCCTACCCTCATGAGCATAATAAAGACCTCAAGAGAGAAATTAGCCTGATTTCAATAGGATGGATGAAAGCCTCACCACCAGTCACTTCCATGTCTATCCACACCAATGGCATCTTGTCACCATGCACAAGTTCCTTTCAAGTACCAATCACTAATGGTGAAGGTTTATCAATTAGTCTGAAAGGTAATAAACTTGCCAACTGATGGTGACATAGGATGTATATATCAGATTCCATGACCCTTTTAGTCTTGTTTCTCCACATGCGGCCTAAATCCTTGTGCGCTCAATCCGCTCATCTTTCCTATCAAGATAAACAATGAAGCATTTAAGACCTACACATCACACAAGGGAGGCCACAGGAGAAATATAGGAGAAAAAGCATGCACTTCCTTAATCTCCTCCAAGGTTTAACAGAACAATATGCCTCTTTCTTTTAAGAAAAAAAGCTCTCTATTTTTAAAGACCTGGTGGATTCACACACATTCTTTGACTGGCCTGAACCATTCATTAGGAAAGATAAAAAAACTTTGACTTCAACATCTCGCAATGCAGTAGCAAATAAGTAACTAAAATTATCAGCTGCCAGTTTGGACTGAACAAAATGGTATGTTTAGTTTTCGTGGATTGACATAGAACAATGCACAGATTGCTCAGCAAGCAAGATCAGCCATGGGAACCACCGATTTATTGCTTAATTTGGTTAGATCTAAAACTACACAGATTCAAATGGAATATACACATGACAGAGCACGTAATATTTACATTAGCTATGTGAGAACTTTCAACCTTGAGTGGATGAATGACGTAAGGAATAAAAGGAACCATAAAGATAGCTGATAAAAGGAATATTTATATTTACCATTATCCTTAGCATCAGCTTTTACAGCAACAGTATGTACTTTGCCCAATCAACAGCCACAGGTCTCTTGCAACAACTTTTCCATTAATATTTTTATAGCCTGGTTCAGAAAAAAAATATGGTCCATTAGCAATTTAAATTGATTTATGTAATCCGACTGAATAGAGTACTGACCATACATTTTCTGCATCCTGCTTCCATATGAAATATGCAAAAGCAAAGCCTTTTGACATCCTGTTAAAGAGTGGATGTAATCAAGCTATAATACTTCCAAGTTTTATTAATCCACTTAAGGAACAAATGACTCAATGAAATAGTAACATAGCCCTCACCAGACTTATGTGGAATCGACACATCCCAGACAAACCCTGCTGTACTGAACATGTATGTGGTCTCCTTCTCTGTAACCTGCAAGTCACATACACACAGTTGGCTTATATATTTGTTTAAGAGAGAAAAAAGTCACATACAAACAGTTGGCTAATCTGTTCAGGAGACCAAAAAAAATTGGAACAGTGACCACTAACCATGCTTTGAATGGCCGGTTACTGACAATCGCTCTCCATTATCTGATCTTTGAACCCTAAAGAGAAAGAAAAAAAGTTTCAAGCACTTGCAAACAAATGAGTAAAGGATAGTGGTGATTCTACAAATATGCAACGATGATGAGCAAAATAAAAAGGTAATAGAAATCAATAAACAAGTATAACTTTCTGCCAATGAATCACCATCAAGCATGAAGCGGTGGTTAGCTCACCTCGCTCCCACACGACCACGGTGTCCTGGTTGGTGCTATTCCGCCCCTGGCGTGTGTGGAGGCCTGCCTGTGGAGCCGCGCCGTCGCCTCCTTCGTCCCGCCCTCGTCGAACTGCCCTCCGCGCGCGGGGTCGTTGCTTTCTTCATCTCTCTCTCCTCGGGTTGCCCGAGGAGCCGCGCCATGTTCTTCATCTCGCTTGTCGCCATAGTCACGCTGCCGCGGATCCGCACCGTCAAAGCCTCCTCCTCTTCATCTCGCATCTAAGAACCCCTATATGTGTATCTCAAATCACATTCATCCAGCGTGGAATACCTGGACCGGAGGAAGAAGCCGCGGAGACAGAGAAGCAGGCTGAGGAGAGGACTCAGCCACCACGGGCGTCGCTCCATGGCGAGGACGACGGGCTGGCAGGGCGAGGAGTCCCCAGCAGCACGGGAGTCTGCTGCTTCCGCTCCAAGCACGAGAGATGTGGGAGGCGTGGTTTGGAACTTTGGATCGGGCCTACTGCGGTTGGTGCGAGTGGGAGGGAAGCAGAGTGGGCGTCGTGGGTGTAACGACCCAAAATCCACGCACTAAAAATCACAACTACAAAATTTTTACTGTTACCTCATGCAATGTTGAGTGACATCTGTAGAAGCCAATTCTAAATGTTGCATTAGAAGTAACTCAACTAGACAATTTCATGAGCATGGCATATTATTTGATATCATGTTTATTTAAATACTGACAAATGAAACATAGCATACATTGTCAACTCAAATGGTGATTTGGATTTTCATTTGTTTTATGTAATGTCTAAGAACACCTTTAAAGAAATAAACCATAAAGTAGTTATTACTCAAACCAAAGAATAAATGTATAAAGAGAAAACTATTTCCATTTTTTATAACAAAACTACACTTATTTTTGTTATACAAAATAGCTAAATAAATTCCTAATATATATATGAAAGAATGTTGTGGGCCTCATATCTAAAACTACAATGACTATGGTACACCAATTTTGAATTCAAATTTCAAACCAAATTGGAATTCAAACAAAGGAGAAGAAAAATAAAACAGAAAAGGAAAAAGAAGGGAAGAAGGCCCGCAGCTGGCTCGGCCTGCTCGGCCCGCTGGCGCGCAGCAGCAAGCCAGCCCAGCTTGCGCGCGCAGCAGCAGGCTGGCCCAACTCGCGCGGCCAGCCCAGCAAGTAGCCCGGCACGACGCTCACGCACGCGCGCCTCCCCGCTTCGCTCGCTGTCACTGCCACCGGACCCCACGCGTCAGCCGCACACCGCCACAGTGTCGTCTTCCTCCCTATGCCGGCACCGCCTCCGACCGTGGCTCGACCAAAATGACAGGCGCGAGCCTAGGGTCACGCGAATCGCCTGGCCCTGTCCCCTTGGCGCCGCGCCCACGCAACCTCCGCGCCAACCACCCATGCCCGCGATGCCGTTCGATGCCAACGGCGCATCACCAGTCGTCCGCCCCGTCCGCCATAAATGAAGCTCGGGCACCGGGGGCTATAAAGCCACGACCCAGAGCCCTAGGGATCCCTCTGCCACCGCCGCCGCTTGGTGGCCCAGTAGCCCGCACCGCACCGAGAGAAGAGGGCCGAGAAGGAGTTCGGTAGAGGAGGATCGGAGCCACCCGCGTGCTGCCGAAGTCGTCAGAGCCGAAGATGACGTCGTCGTCTTCATCACGGTCGCGGGTCGGCACTGCACTGCTTCCGTCTACACGGCCACGACCCTCCCCTGCACCGCCATCCTTTCGCCTTCGACACCAACGGTGAGCCCTCACTGCTGAGACTCCTCCTAGCCCCATGGACGTCGTAGCAGAGCACGCGCACGCCGCGCTCACAACGCCGCCGTCATGGCGTGGCCACCACTTGCACACCAGTCCGCCTCGCCGGACCAGGACGTAGCCGTAGCACCACCATGATGCCTGAAGGGTAGCCGCGTAGACCGAGACCCCGTTAGCCGACCATAGCGCCCCGGCCACGAGCATCGGACCTCGGCCGGAGCTCCGCCGTGCACCATCACCGCGCACGGACTCCGCCACGTCTTTTGGTCGCCGTCGTCACTTGTCCCGGTCGCCCGCTAGCAGTCTGAACGGGAACGGGGCACCAGGACCCTTGGAACAGCCCCTAGCTGCCCCGCCGACGAGCACCGCCACGACCAAGCCGCCGACCGCCGTGGCCAACGCCCTGGAAAGCACCGGCCGCCACCTAGACCCCACCATCGTGTTCGCCATGGCCTGGGGAATCTTTACCCCACCTTAATTGAACGCCAGCGCCGCCGTAGGATCACGCCGGTGAGCACACCACCGGCGGGAGCACGCCGGGGATGGAAACAGAGGGCTTCCCTTGCCGGCCACACGCGCCTGCACTCGGTGCACGTAGGCTAAGCCAAAAGGGAAGGAGGGTGGACTCGGTCCACCGAAGACCAGCCAACGGTCCATGGACCGTGAACATGAGTCCACAGTGAGCCACACGGTGTGGGCCGAATGGTGGACAAAGCCCATTGGAGGCCCTCGGCTACGATGTGGCAGCGCCACAGCACGCCACGTGTCCGGGCTGAGCCTAGCCCAAATCCAGCCCTGACCAGGCCCAACCGGCCCAGTTCGGACCCGGTCCGTGTTGACCGTTGACCGGTCAACGTTGACTGTTGATCTGGCCCCACATGTCAGCGGCACAGACACTCTGGACCCACATGTCAGTGAGTGATGTCATGACAACGTCACGCGGGTCCCACCTGTCAGTAACATCACAGTCGAGGTGACGTCACGCTGACGTCAGCAGCCCTGGCCCCACACGTCAGTGACCCTAACCGGTTGACCGTTGACTCGCCCATTGACTTGACGTTGACTTTGACCGGACCCACATGTCAGTGACCCAAGAGCCCCTGGACCCACCTGTCGGAACTGATGACGTTGATGACGTCATGCTGACGTCAGCTGGACCCCACCTGTCAGCTCGGAACCAAGATGATGACGTCATGCTGACGTTAGCATGCCACGTGGACCAGCCGTAGCGTGACACGTGTCAGCCTAGGATTAATTCAGCCTTTTCCATTTTCAGAAATGATTTAAACTTCAGAAATTCATAACTAATTCATATGAACTCAGAAAAATACGAAACCAGGACTAAAATTCATCTGAAATCGAGCCCTACGCAATGAACCCATGTTTAAGTGCATTTGGCTCTTTTGAATTTTCATTGCTTCTTTATGCTATTCTATAGACGTCGCTAACGCGACTATAATGCGATCATTTGCAGACTCGGAGGAGAACCGGACGGACAAGGATCATGAGTACCGTGAGGAGTACGGAGACGACTACACTGAAGGTGCCACATCCCACTTAATCTCGTAGCACTAATTACGCATGGCTAAAATAGAAATGCTAGTGCTTGCTTTATTGTCATGATCACACTATGGTAGGACTTGCATGGTAGAATGTTTTCTTGATAGCCATTACCTGACGCAACCTTACCCCTGCTCACCCTGCTGTTAGGCTAGTCACACGCTCGCTACTATATTTCGTTGTTTTATTACTTCTACTCAATGTTTTAAATAGCCAAGTTAAGCCTCTTAGTCTGCCGACCTTCAAATGACTAAGCACAAATTTATAGCGGGAGATAGTGCATGACTATACCATTTAGTTGTTTTTGCAAAAAAATGAAAAAAAAAGACATGGCATTGGCATAACTTCATAACCATTACTTGATTGAAAGGAGTACATTACAACAAAGCTACATCGGGCTATTTAAAACTAATGAGACAAGGCAATAACCAGGTTGATAGTTGATACATAACCAGTTGATTAAAGCTAACAAAGACAACACAAAAGGTCATCAAGAGTTCTAGTCTCACTAATCACTTAATCGACAAGGCAATATTGCAATCGACAATGGATACTAAATTACTAATACGAGGCAATATTGCAATCTTCATTTCTTCTAGTCTCACTAATCGACATTTCGAGAGACATAGGAGAGGAAGACTTATCGAGTTAGTAGTCCGCATTAGAGTACCATCAAGACAATCTTCCTGAATCGGATGATGGAGCTTCAGTCCTTGGGCCATTTCTCATCAAAGACCTGCAGGCTCCTCGACTTTCCTCTTCTTAGGGTGCATGTGCCTTTTCCTTTTAGCTTGTGGTTGTGCTTGTTGTGGTGTGTGCTTATGTGATTCTTGTGTACATTGTTGTTGTTCCATTTCACTTGGCAAAGGCGTAATACAAAAGATAATGAATTCATTATCATCATCCGCCACAACATCATCTACTTCTTTCTCCAAAGGATCTCTATCTTCTTCTCTCTCTTATTCCTTAACTTAGAATTAAATTTAACAAATACAAGATCTCTCATCCTTTCATGAAGTAGCCTATTGCGCTTCTTTGTATGAACCTACCGGTCAAGTAGTGAAGACAAGGTTGCAGTGTGATTTAAATTCCATGAACAAACATTAAAATTAAAAAGATAGCATGCACACAAAGATGCATGTCATAATTTTCTTTTTTACTGTTCAAATCATGACCAGTTCCTCTCACAAGTCGAGGAGCTACAGTCGACTCAGTAATCCTTGCCGCCAATTTCCTAAGATTTGGTGTGCTTGTGCCATGGTGCAAACCACCATTTGTTTGCATAAACATTAAACAAGTTAGAATTTGAACACCACCATCTTTTACAAATGTCACAATTCGCACTCTCCGGCCTTTGTTATGGTTCAAGTTGGGGCTTCATGAAGTCTGTGGGCCTAGAAAGAGCCCGGTGGTGGTAGGCTAGTCCAATTGTGGTAGCGGTTGGTGTTTGTAGTGGCAAGGTTGTGGGGGGTGTCTTTGATCGTGGGGTGGAGGATACCTCAAGTAGCAGCTAGAGTTAAGTGCTTTCTATGTACAGATAATTAAAGCTATTGAGGTGCAAATGTGCAATGGCTTTAAGCCTATTGCTTGCATCACCTAACTGTAAATAAGTAGTCTACCAAATACATGTATGCATAATGGGACTATAGGGACACCAAACTATTAGAAGAATCAGACTCAAGATTTTTTCCGGTCTAAAACAAGGATCCCATCTTGTAGTGGAGGATAGACAATGCTTGAGCTAGAAAACTTCCCCGTCCTAATCAAGAAGAACACACAGCGCAGTAAACTATGACTAATGCAATATCAAAACTAACACATCTGTGCCATTGCAATTGCTTTGAAATGTCGATGTCTACAAATGGACATCAATCAATTGACATACTCAAGTGGTTCACACCAAAGCTAATAGATGTCAAAAGGTTAAAAAATCACTATGAAAGAAGTATTCATTTGACACTCTTTCGTGTGTGGTTCACACCAGCTGAATTAGAATGGCTCAATTCTCGCAAAGAAGAATATAAGACCTCCACAACCTAGACTTT